GTCATTGCTGTGGATCTGAGTGAGGTGCCTGCTGGGGACGGTGTTTGGAGGGTTTGGCGGGTTTTGGAGGGTTTGGAGCGTTTGGAGCGTTTGGAGAGTTTTGGAGGGTTTGCGGGCTGGCAAGCGGCAGCTTTGAAAGCCTAAGAAAGCCATTGCTGTGGCCTGGCCCTGGGGTGCCTGTTGGGGAAGTTGCCTGGGCCCTAGGGTGCATGTTGGGGAAGGTGTTTGGAATTTTGGAAGTTTGGATCCTTTGCAGGCTGGCACTGACGCCCTAGGGTGCATGTTGGGGAAGGTGTTTGGAATTTTGGAAGTTTGGATCCTTTGCAGGCTGGCAAACTGCAGCTTTGAGGCCCATAGAAAGTCATTGCTGTGGCCCTGGCCCCCTGTTAAGGCAGCTTTGAAAGCATCAAGAAAGTCATTCGGGAAAGGGGAACAGAGAGACCACAAAACAGGCGAAAAGAGAAGAGACAAAGGAGCGCCGGAAGAAGAGAAGGGGAACGTAGGAGTGAGGAAGGAAAAAAAAACAAAACATAAGCGGGAGAAAACGAAAGGCGAGCATGAAGAAGGGAGGGGAGCGTAGAGGAGGGAAAGACGGAGAGGGAAAGAAAAATCGGGCGGAGGCGAAAGGAAGTAAATGAAAAGCAGAAAGACGCAAGAAGGGCAAAGAAAAGGAAATACAGGGAAGGAAGAGACAGCGGGAGATCCTAGTGTGTGGATTTCTGGAGGTGCCTGCTGGGGACGGTGTTTGGAGGGTTTGGCGGGTTTTGGAGGGTTTGGAGCGTTTGGAGCGTTTGGAGAGTTTTGGAGGGTTTGCGGGCTGGCAAGCGGCAGCTTTGAAAGCCTAAGAAAGCCATTGCTGTGGCCTGGCCCTGGGGTGCCTGTTGGGGAAGTTGCCTGGGCCCTAGGGTGCATGTTGGGGAAGGTGTTTGGAATTTTGGAAGTTTGGATCCTTTGCAGGCTGGCAAACGGCAGCTTTGAGGCCCATAGAAAGTCATTGCTGTGAATCTGAGGTGCCTGCTGGGGACGGTGTTTGGAGGGTTTGGCAGGTTTTGGAGGGTTTGGAGCGTTTGGAGGGTTTGGAGGGTTTGGAGGGTTTTGGAGGGTTTGCGGGCTGGCAAACGGCAGCTTTGAAAGCCTAAGAAAGCCAGCTTTGAAAGCCCATAGAAAGCCATTGCTGTGGCCTGGCCCTGGGGTGCCTGTTGGGGAAGTGGCCTTGGCCCTAGGGTGCATGTTGGGGAAGGGGTTTGGAATTTTGGAAGTTTGGATCCTTTGCAGGCTGGCAAACTGCAGCTTTGAGGCCCATAGAAAGTCATTGCTGTGGCCCTGGCCTCTGTTAAGGCAGCTTTGAAAGCATCAAGAAAGTCATTGCTGTGGATCTGAGGTGCCTGCTGGGGACGGTGTTTGGAGGGTTTGGCGGGTTTAGCAGGGTTTGGAGCGTTTGGAGGGTTTGGAGGGTTTGGAGAGTTTTGGAGAGTTTTGGAGGGTTTGCGGGCTGGCAAACGGCAGCTTTGAAAGCCTAAGAAAGCCATTGCTGTGGCCTGGCCCTGGGGTGCCTGTTGGGGAAGTTGCCTTGGCCCTAGGGTGCATGTTGGGGAAGGTGTTTGGAATTTTGGAAGTTTGGAGCCTTTGCGGGCTAGCAAACGGCAGCTTTGAAATTCATAAAAAGTCTCATTGCTGTGGCCCTGGCCCTGGGGGTTTGGAATTTTGGAGGCGTTTGGGGTTTGGAATTTTGGAGGCGTTTGGAGCCTTTGCGGGCTGGCAAACGGCAGCTTTGAAAGCTCATAGAAAGTCATTGCTGTGGCCCTGGCCCTGGGGTGCCTGTTGGGGAAGCTGCTTAAGGGTAAAGGTTTGGAGGGTTTGGAAGAGGACAAGGTCCACACCTGCGGTGGTCCCAGGCGCCGCCCCGGCCTTGGCGAAGGCCGGGGTCGGCGGATTTACAGTGAGATACAGTGAGCAGTGAGAAAACTCCCTAGGTCTCAGCATATCTCAGCATGATTGCTGGTAAAATCTTGGGGTTTTGCCACGTATCGAATATGTCCATGCAGATTCTCAGACAAACGCAGTTCCTCTCCATGGATTCTGGAGAGCGTTGTTGCTTTTGCCAAACCCATCGTTTTTGGTGTGGGACGATTGGGACGTGACCAATGTCTTGGTTTCCTTGGAATCCTGTGGTGCGCTCCCAAGTGGCAACCCCGTGACAGGAATTGCAAGATTCTGAATCTGCCAGATTCCAAGAGTTCCAAGAGGTCCAAGAAACACGGAACAGTTGAGTATAAGACATCAGTGAGATATAGGTTTTTATCATATTTTATGGTTGACTTAATGAAAGTTGTTACTGTCTTACAAGTTTGGTCATGGTGGCGGATTTGGTAGACTTGTTTGATGCCAAAGTTACAAATGCTGCCACGAGACAGAGAGTACAGAGAAACATGAACATTAATGAACATTCAGCCTCCAGATGTTGATTTATATTACACACTCTACAAACTCATACCATGTACATAAATTGAGTATATGATGTATATGTGAGCGAATTTTCTCACAATTTTGGCAGATCCTGATCTCAAAATACCCCAAAGATCAGGCCGGAAGGTCCCGAAAATGTTTTGCCAAGGCGGTCACCTGTATTTGCTTTGGCCAGGAGCGTTTGCACAAGGCCAGACTCTGCACTGAACCGGCGCATCGCATGAGATGTGGCCATGGGCTCTAAAGTCTGCGAATTCAAATCGCCAACATCCTGCAACATCTTGCAACATATATTGCGGATTATTTTGGTGAGCGCTGCAGTTGTTTTTATGGGCCAGGGCCAGTTGTTGAACCCAGCCGAGCCCAACATTTGAGATGGCGAAATGTTGCCATAGAGTCCCGAATTTGGTGCAGCGGTTTCCGTTTCTCCATTTCTTTCAGGGCTACTTACTTTTGGCCACTGCTTCCAAGGCCCCTTGGCTCTGGCACTGGTTTGTGATTGTTCTGGTCTGAAACAGTGACATTTTCAGTGGTAGCTGGAGCATACTTTGCCATTTGCCAATGTTTTCTGGAACTTTCTCGATCAGGACGGCACTGTTGTGGTATATCGCTGCTACAGAACAGAGATGGAGATTGCCGCTGTCTTAGCTTGGCGTCCGCGAATGTGGCTCAAGCAGGGAGGGGTTGGCCCTGCATTTGAACGAAGAATGTCTCATGATATATATATATATATTATAATATTATATATATATAATATATATATATATTATATATATTATATATATATAATATTTAAGAGAGTATATAGGGTATATAGAGTCTTAGTGTTTTGGGTGTTTGGGATGTTCAACTCAGGCCATGCTGGCCGACCAAGACTTTTCCTCAACAGCTGGAGACCCTCTTGAAACTCCACCAGCAGTGCCTTGTCCGACTTCGCTTTGGCTTAAGGCTTAATGGCTTGCTTACGGCTTACATCAGCAAGTGGGCAGTGGAGCGTAGCGAACTTGTTTTTTTAATCTGAAGGAATAAATAGATGAAATTAGATGAAATTAGATGAAATTAGAGTGATAAAATCGAGATGCTTTGTTTTGACGTCGAAAAAGCTCGAAGACTGTTTCACTTCGTGACCTCTCAGGACCAGTCAAAAGTCGCTGTCCACTCCCGGCTTGTAGGTCACGCCCGTTCCTGCCTTAGCAAGCATAGGGACCAATTTCTAAGGGGCGAGGAACAAGAAAAAAAAACGGCATGACAAGAGGTGACCAGAGACGAAAGCATGAAAGGATAGAAAAGGCTAAATGGAGATGTTGCCATGCCACAAGTTGCCAGAAACTTTTGCAAACGGAACTGTAAGTGACAAGATGTGACAAGATGTGACAAGTTGAATATGTCACTATGTCTTCACTTATACGATGTCTCAGGAGCCATCACTTCGCTATTTTTCACCCTGTTGGAAGATCAGCTGGTGACTACATCAATCGACAAGCCACTTGCATTTACAGACTTCCATTGAGTGTCAGCATTGCAGTGTTGTCACGATGCTGTCACATTCAAAACAGCTCGATCCTACACTTTCGGCAGCAGTGATGATATATATCATGATAGATCATAGATCATGGCATCGAAGTAAACCTAGGGAACTGTCCTTTTCAAGCGTCGCTGTTCAAAGCGCATTGTTTCTGCTATTGATGCCTTGAAGGCTTACAGCGGCTTACATGTCAATGTGATGTCAATGCAACTATCCAAGTTATCCAAATACTGCCAGATATACCTACTTAACATTGCTTAACCAGGTGCTGTTCACAGTAAACTTCTGTTCATACACGGTATACACGTCAAGTGACGTCAAGTGACGTCAAGTGACCAAGGTCAGTGCGCTTTTGGAGTGTCGATTCTGGAGAGATGCTCAAGGTCTTCACAGACTCCTCGCAGAGCCTCAGAGACGAATCGACAGGTGAAACACGTGAAACTCACTGTGCACCATGTGAAAAATGTGTGAAAAACATGTAAAATATGATGCTCTTGAGATGCATCGTGATGTTCTTGCATGTTATTCACTAAGGCAAAGTGAAATATGAGTAGACCAGGATGACCAAAGGTGAAGGATAGTTGATGGGAAGTTGAAAAATGGAGCTTGTAAGGCAAGCATCCCACCAGCACAGTACCCACAGGGACAAAGCAAAAAAGAGCACTTTTGTGACAAGATGATAGGAAAAATTGAAAAAGTGAAAGCCAACACGTCCAACCTACGTCAGCCAACCTCTCTGAAGAACTCAAATGGACCTCTTTGTGCATGTCCACATGGAAGACCCCGCAGTAATTTGTCTGGAGAGAACAAGCTAAACCTACAATGGCTACAGTACTTCAAGATGTTTTAAGATGTTTTAATTTAAGTTTCCAAGAAAATGTTTTGAGGTGCTTCATGTTTCTCTTTGAGTTTCTAGTTATGCGCCTGCATTGCCATTTACATTTTGTCTCTCACGCGGATGGTCGGGTTGTCAACCGGGACTTCTACCGCGTTCCCAGCCGTTCCTAGATTCCACTTGCCCAGGTTCTGAGACTTGAGCTGAAGTCCGCCATTCTTTGTCTTGCCTTGATGAATTTTTAATCAATCTACATAACATATACATAGTATTTTTTATATCTTGTTGTCATTTGTCACGAGCCAATGTTTCTTTTCGATGGTGTCAAGTTGAATGTGTATATGACTTAGTTTATCAGCTTTTGGTTCATACACTGTCACTATCATACACTTTGCTTGGCACGTTCCATTTGCAATTCCCTCCCCAAAGAGCTTTCTGCAGATAGTACTGTGATAGCTCAACTAGCTCAACCTGCAGAGGAGTCTATCAGGAGCACCGTAGAAAGAAACATGCTGGAAAAGAAAGAATATGCAAGAAACTTGCCTTGTAAAATAGTAACAATACTACATAATACTACTAATTATAATAATGATGATGATGATGTCGGTTATTTCTCTTTTCAGCTGATGTTACCGTTCAAGGGTTATAGCAATTTTCGAAACACGTGGCCTCCAGCTCAGGCCAGTTCCTGTGGCAACCTTTCTACCCTTCAACCCACAGGCTGTCACGAAAAAAATCCCATGTCGCAGCGTCGCAGCAACGATGTTACACGTCGCAGCAATGTTCGATTCTGAATGGAAAAAAATGGTACGATTTGACGATTTGAAATCCCAAGATCATCAAAATCCGGAGAGGAGATCATGTTGGATCGAAGCCTTCCATTCCGATCTCCGATCTCCGATCCTCCAGGTGTTCGTCGCGGCCAATTCCAATGCAGTTTTGCGACTGGTCCACGTGGACCCCTTGGACTCAGCGTCTCATATCGCAAGACCCATCAAGACACATCAAGATGGCTTCTCCGATTGCTTCTCCGATTGGTTCTCCGATTGGTTCTCCGATTGGTTGAGGTAGCCAATGGAACTGTCTTGCAAAAGCTGAAGGCGATCGTGTGACTGGTAGCATGTTTTGAATCATTTTGAATCCCATCTGAAAAAATCCTCGATTTTTTGTCGTAGAGACATCTTCCTTTCGTCCTAGTACTGATTGCGCCTTTTGTCCACCTTGCTGTGATCTCAATGCATTGCTTTCGCCTCGTCCCCTGTTGGAACTAGCGCAGGTTGAGACCGAAGTGAGAGCGCTGAAGTTCGATGATACGGGACTCTTCCTGCTGGCTGGTTGAATCTCAGACGACTCGCCCGCTGGGCTCAATACACCATATACATCCATATACACCTGTGACTTTATGCGGTGAATATTGGGATGTTGGTCTCCTGAGGTACCAAGAGTGGAAGTATTCATGTCTTGGAGGCGCCATGAGATGCAGATGCAGCGTGTCATGAGGATGGTTTCTACCCGTTTGACTGCGAAACTGGCTACCTGTCGGATCTTTCAAGAGACTACATTTGCACATTGTATTGATCTGTATTGTATATTTGAAATGTCTTTTGAAAGTATACTGTATACACTGTCTTGTATATACTGTACTTTAAATACTGTACTTTCAAATAGGTACATTTGTACATACTTGTACTGCATTGTCCCATGTTCCCCACTTTCACGTTTTTCCCGACTATCTTTCCGATACTGACCAGGAACTTTTTCCACTACACCTCATACACCTCATGAAGCGTTGTCCTGTCTATAAAGTTTCTAAAGCCCCAAAGGATTTTTGCCCAAGTCCAACGTGCCAGGGCAAGTGAGTTTGTCCCGCTTTGGATTAAGGGCATCCTCTTGGCAAGCATTGTCGGCGCATCTCGAACAAGCACACCTGACAGCACACCTGACAGCGCGAAACGAACAAGATCCATCAAGATCCATCAAGATCCCTCCCTCGACGAATGAAAAGCGTCCGTCATCTCCCTTTTCTATCCTTTTCTCTCTTCTCCTAAGCGGTAAAATAACATAAAAGTGTTCATTAAAGTGTTCATAAAACGGCAGACTTGTTCGTTGCAGGCCGCTGACTCGTCGACCCTGAAGTTCAAATTCAAGGCCAATGGAGAGCAGAACAGTGAAAGAGTGAAAGAGTGGAGGTTTTTTCCCGAATGCGTAGCGAAGGGTTCCCGTTTATAGTTGGGGGTCTGGGGGTTGGACCTTTGTTCGCCGCCAGTTGGTCGGCGCGTCGTTTTCGCGTCGTTTTTCGCGTCGTTAATTCGGTGTCTATAGGGGAAGCTGCAAAACCTCGTGTCTTTTGCGACGTAGATGTCGCAGTGTCTATAGGGGAAGCTGCAAAACCTCGTGTTTTTTGCGACGTAGATGTCGCAGTATCTATAGGGGAAGCTGCAAAACTTCGTGTTTTTTGCAACGTAGATGTCGCCGTGTCTATAGGGGAAGCTGCAAAACCTCGTGTTTTTTGCGACGTAGATGTCGCAGTGTCTATAGGGGAAGCTGCAACA